TGCAGGGGACATATGGGCTGGGGGAAGAGCCTGGCCTCCCTGTGTGACCAAGAGAAGCTGGCTGGGGGGACCTGGTGACACTGGCCTGTGTGGAGAAGCCCCTCCTCACCCCGGGAAATGACCCTGAACCCCACAGCAGAGGCCGAGGAGCTGCAGGCCGGGGTCTCCTCCGCTCCCAGCCGCTGAGCCCGGGGCCTGGGCCCGGCTTCCCTGGGGGGCTGGGGGCACAGCACTCAGGCAGGAAGCTCAGGGCCCCTCCCCTGCTCTGCACCTCAGTCCTGGGAATGGCTGGGCTGGTGTTTCCCAGCCGTGTAGCCTTACACCTCCCGCAAAGCTTTTGTGCCTCCAGAAATCTCTGCGACTCCACCTCAGGGCAGGTCCCCACCTGAAGAGATTAGTCTCTCTGGAAAGGCAACCTGCCCGAGGGCCCTCTTCTGTCCACACCTTACAGATCATGTTATAATCCCATTATGTGGGGGGCATGGAGGTGAGAGAGTCCTCAGCCTTCTTCTCACCCAGGAAGCTCTGGGGCATCCTAGGGGCAGACGCCAGCCCAGGGACCAGAAGCCTCCGGTTCCCACTCCCTGCAGGCCCGCAGAGTCTCAGAAGTCAGACTTGCAGCCGGGCGCGGTGGCTCAAGCCTGCAATCCTAGCACTCTGGGAGGCCGAGGTGGGAGGATTGCTTGAGCTCAGGAGTTTGAGAACAGCCTGAGCAAGAGCGAGACCCCATCTCCACTATAAATAGAAAGCAATAAGCCAAACAACTAAAAATAGAAAAAACTAGCTGGGCATGGTGGCGCATGCCTGTAGTCCCAGCTACTCGGGAGGCCGAGGCAGGGGGATCACTTGAGCCCAGGAATGTGAGGTTGCTGTGAGCTAGGCTGACGCCACAGCACTCTAGCAACAGAGTGAGACTCTGTCTAAAAAAAAAAAAAAAAAAAGGCAGACCTGGATCCCAGAGGGCTCTGCCCCCATCTGGTCACCTGTCTGGGCAGTGGCCCTTGCTGGGACCTGGCCACATGGGACTGTCGTGAGAGCGAGAAGGCCCTCACCGTGTCCCGTGGAAGATGGGGCTGGGTGTTCCGAGGTTTTGTGATCCCCTTCTTGTCCAGAAGAAACAAGATATGGGCTTGGGCTGGGCCCTGGCCTCCCTCCAGAGCAGGGAGGCTTTCCCCAGCCCCAGCCTGGGGTTACTGTTAAAGACCCCAGGACTGAGCCCAGGCCCTGGCACCAGGTGCAAACCGGCTCAGCCAGAGGTCCACGAGCCACCCTGGAACCAGGGAGCAGCAGTGTCCCAGGGCCCCACCCCTGCAGCTGACCTGCTGCAGCCACCCTCCCCCAGCATCCAGCCAGGTGTGCCCAGTACCAGGCTTGTGTCCCTCAGGAGGACGTGAGCCTGGCTGTCTGTGGGGACCCTCCTAAAGACCAGCATCGCAGGTGACCCTGCCGACTTCCAGGGTCCTCTTGATCCCTGTGGGCCTGAAGTGTGTGTGCCTGTATGTGTTATGTGTGTATACACGTGTGTTCACTCGGGCGTGCCCGTGGGGGGTGTGCAGGTGCAGACCAGTGTACACGTGTGTGTGCCTGGCTTGCCCACGTGTGTGTGTGCATTGTGCCCTTGCTTGCATGGTCGTATGTGCCTCGTGTGGGTGTGCACACGCGTGTCCATGTGCACCCACACGTGCACGCACATGTATGTGTCCTGTGTGTCTGTTCCCCACATGCATGCATATGCATCCCTGTGTGTGCTCATGTGCCTATGACTGTGTGCCCACATGCTTGAGTGTTACCCATGGGTGTGCCCAAAGGCAGGTGCTCACATTTGCGTGTGCCTGTGCAGGTGTGCACAGTGGTGACCAGGACAGGCTGTGTCTCTGCCACATTTCTTGCTTTCTCTCAGCCACACCTGCCGCTGCCACCTCAGGGAAACTCCACGGCCCCACGAAGTTCCCTACTGCACATGTCCCCTCAGTGGCTTCCCTGCCCTGCCTTGGGAAAGGTTCAGGATCAACAGTGAGTCTTGATAAGGGGCCTGTGGACAGTGACAAGGCACTTCTACATCAGGGCCTGGAGAAGGAGCAGGGACTTCCATCTCGTACCCCAATCCCTAGCCCTATCCTACCCCTACCCCTACCCTTACCCCTAACTCTACCCTGAATCTTACCCCTACACCTGACTCTACCCCTACCCCTAAATCTACCCCTACCCTAATCCTACCCCTATCCCTACCTGTAGCCCTAATCCAACCCCTGCCCCTAACTCGATCCCTATTCCTAACCCTACTCTACCCTAAATCACGCACCTGCACCTGCCTGCCCCCTCCTGCCCAGCCACAAGCTCCCTGTGCAGGTCAGGTGAGGTCAGGTGAGGTCACACTCTGTCTTTGTGGCCACAGGTCGGCTGTTTCCCTTTGTTCTAGGGTATGTGTCCTTCCTTTATTCAGGCAGATGTATGTTGAAAACACATTCTTTGTCAAGTGCCAGAGAAATGACGGGCAGGGCAGCCCCGCCCTCCAGGGACCCAGTCTCCCTCGAGGGACACAGGGCCAGGAGCCGGGGTGTGGGGGCAGGGTACGCGTGACTCAGGCCTCAGTCTCACCCTGAGCCACTGGGAGACTCGGTGACCCGGGTGGGAGCTGGGGGTGCGGGAGAGGGAAGCGGGCACAGGCCGGTCAACAACTCCTAGTGAAGTAGAGCCGGTGGGCCCCAGTGGGCCCCAGGTGTTTAACGGAGGATAAGGAAGGGTCTGGAACAAGTGGGCGTTTGGGCTGAGCAGGCCAGTGGTGGAGTAGGGGTGGCCGAGGTTCGGAGGAGGAGGAGGAGGAGGAGGAGGAGGGGGGCCACGCCTGCCCCACCCACGGCTCAGGTGCCCCTCGCGGGCCGCCCCAGGGTCCGGTTTCCAGGGCTTGGTGCTCTCCCCACCCTGAGAAACAGGAAAGGCAGATATAACTTGCCCTTTCCAGGGGCCTCTAAGGAAGGAATTTGAGAAGGAACCTTAGAAGCTTCTGGAAGGACCTTTGTCCCGCACCAGCCCCAGCCCCCTCGCCACACAGCAGCGCCCCCTCCCTCCACGGACAGCAGTTCCCTGCCCCCAGCCCCCCTGCTCGCCCCCAGGCCCAGACTCCCAGGCCTTCAGACCCCTCCTCACCCCAGCAGGACTTCTCATGTGTGTGCCTGCGTGTATACACGTGTGCCCCAGCAGCCCCTGCCCAGGGCGGCCTGCAGACCCCAGGCTGGTTAGGGTGGGTACCTGGCCTCCCCTGCAGAAGCCCTGGGAGGGGTGAGGCCCTGGCTGGCTCCTGGGTGGCCCCAGCTCAGGTTGCACATGGGCGGGCAGGTGGCTGGGCCAGACCAGCTCTGAGACCCCCGGCAAGGCGCCAGCTTTGCCTCCCAGGACTGTCACCTCCCCAGGGGATCCACGTCGGTTCACTCCTTCCCCGGGCCTTTAGGGCGGGAGGCCAGAGAAGCACACACCACGAAGCCAGATGAAGAGCACAGCGCTGAACGGGGGCCCCTAAAGCTGAGCCCACGGCCCAGTCCGGGACCCCAGAGTGGGACCTTAGTCGTAAGAGGGGGCCGTGCAGATGAGGTTGAGACGAGGGTCTTGAGAGGGGCTCATCCGATATTATCCAGGTAGCCCCAAATCCAATAACAGGTGTCCTTAGAAGAGAGGAGGGGAGACACGGATCCAGAGAAGCCATGGCTGGTGTGATGCAGCCACTGCACTGCAGCCTGGGTGACACTGAGATCCCATCTCAAAAAAAAAAAAAAAAAAAAACCAGGCCCTTGCGGTGGCTCTCGCCTGTAATCCTGGCACTCTGGGAGGCCGAGGCAGGCGGATAGCTCAAGGTCAGGAGTTCGAAACCAGCCTGAGCAAGAACGAGACCCCGTCTCTATTAAAAATAGAAATTACCTGGACAAGTAAAAATGTATAGGAAAAATTAGCCGGGCATGGTGTCGCATGCCTGTAGTCCCAGCTACTCGGGAGGCTGAGGCAGGAGGATCGCTTGAGCCTAGGAGTTTGAGGTTGCTGTGAGCTAGGCTGACGCCACGGCACTCTAGCCTGGGCAACAAAGTGAGACTCTGTCTCAAAATAAATAAATAAGTAAATAAAAAATAAATGAGAACCTGGCGGAGGAGCTGCGTGCTGTTCTCAGGTGCCCCACCAGTGTGTGGGGCGGGGTTGGGTCATTGATTTTCAGCTTCCCGCACAAGTCTCCTCCCCTGAGTCCCAGAGCCCCAGTCCCAGGGCTCCCTGCGTCCTGCCCAGGGCGGGGGTGTCTGGCCTCCGACTCACGGACTCACGGGTGCATCCTAAGGGCAAGGACAGTGTCCTCCAAGGGCCTCAACAGGACAAGCCCCCTGGCTTCCAGGAGTCGGGAAGGTTCCAGGAGGCAGAGAAGGTTTGCCAGCAGGAGTCCCTGGACAGCATGGCAGCCTTCTTCCTGGGGTCTCGCCTGGGGGTCCAGCCCTGGGTCCAAGCAAGGGGCTCAGCTTTCGGGAGGGAGAGGCAGCAGGCGGTCTACCTGCTTTCCGGGCCACACGTGGGAGGGCCTGGGAGTCTGGGCCACCTGCATGGTGGGGGTGTCACATGGCCTGCCCTGAACTCCTGAATGGAGGTGCTGGGGTATTATTACCAGAGAGGCAGGCGGCAACACCAAGCACGTCCGACCCACCTCCACCTCCAACCCCCATTCCCTGGTCCCCCCCACCCCCCCACCCCACTGGCGGTGAGGCCAGGCTTCCTCTTCCAGTAAAAACTGTGACAGGGTAATGTTTCTGTCCACACAAGAAAAGTGGCAAAACAATTCTACTACCTTGCCCCCCCACCCCGGCTGTGCTTATACCCCTCCACACACACACACGTACACATACGTGCACACACTAGTTAGTTTTCATTTCTTTTCTGGGATGGGGTTCCGCCCTGCCCCGCCCCCACCCCCCACCTGGGCATATAAAACCTCCGCGTCGTCCTGTGGGACAAGGCTGGCAGTCAGCACCATGCAGCTGAATTTCAGTGGCCTGCGGGCCCTGGTGACAGGAGCAGGGAAAGGTAGGTTTGAGCAGGATGGGGCTGCAGGAGGGGCTGCCTGGGAGAGCAGGATGGCAAGACCTGGACCCTCACAGAGGCCCATGCAGGGCCTGTGAGTCCCCACCGGGAACTGAGCCTGAACCTGGGCCTGAGCTGCTCCCCACCACCTGGCTGGAGCCCCACTGGGACAGGACTCCAGCCCCTCCCTGGTCAGCACAAGATCCCCTTGCCCTGGGGAGACCCCCAGACCCAGACTGGACAGAGGGGGGCTCCAGCCAGGGCCTCTTCCCTCAGACCTGCCCTCTGGGTTCCCCCTTGGCCTGATGCTGGTCAATGGGGCCTCTGACCGGGGCCCCCAGCTACTCCTGGGGCACTGCCCTCCCCTCCCTGCTTGTCCCTGGGCAGCAGTGGCTGCAGCCCCACTCCCATCTGTCCCCTGACCCCAGCCTTGAGCAGACATTCTGGGCCACCTACCCACCGAGTCTCCCCGCTGCAGGGATCGGGCGGGACACTGTGAAGGCCTTGCACGCCTCGGGAGCCAAAGTGGTGGCTGTTAGCCGCACCGGTGACGACCTGGTCAGCCTCTCCCAGGAGGTGAGGTGTGCTGCCCCACCACGGCCTGGTCTGCCCCCAGGCCCTCAGGGATGCCTCACCACCCTGCCGGGCCCACACCTCAGGGCATTGCCCCCCAATGTCTCCACAGTGCCCCGGGATAGAGCCCGTGTGCGTGGACCTGGGCAGCTGGGAGGCCACGGAGCAGGCGCTGGGCAGCGTGGGCACGGTGGACCTGCTGGTGAACAACGCAGCCGTGTCACTCAGCCAGCCCTTCCTGGAGGTCACCAAGGAGGCCTTCGACAGGTGGGAAGGGAGAACGGTCAGGCTAGGGCAGGGCTGCTGGGGACAGGCAGTGGAGGTTGCCATGGTCTGTCCCTCCTGCCAGGTCCTTCAACGTGAATCTGCGTTCTGTGCTCCAGGTGTCCCAGGTGAGCCAGCGGGAGGGCAAGGGCCAGCATGGTGGGTGGGTGGGTTTGGGTGGGGCCAGCTGCCCCCACTCTTGGTTTCAGATCATAGTCCGGGGCATGATCGACCGCAGAGCACCTGGCTCCATCGTCAACATCTCCAGCATAGCGGCCAACGTCATCTTACCTAACCTGGTCACCTACAGTGAGTTCCTCTGCCCAGCCTGCACACCCCTATTCCCTGCGGAGCCCCTGGGAGCAGGGCTCAATCAGTCTCTAGGGGGTCCTCAGTGCTGTCCCCCGCAGGCTGCACCAAGGGCGCAATGACCGTGCTGACCAAAGCCATGGCCATGGAGCTGGGGCCACACAAGGTGGGTTTGGGAGTTGGGGGCTGAGGACCAGGCCTAGAGGGGTACAAGCGGGTGCTGGGGGCGGGGCTGGGGATTGGGGTGAGAATGGGGACTTGCGGACAACACAGGCTCTGGGCAGGGGGGTCAGGGCCTGGTGCGCAGGCTGAGGCCACACCTCCTGCCCTGGCCCCAGATCCGGGTGAACTCCGTGAACCCCACGGTGGTGCCGACGGCCATGTCCCGGATCGTGTGGTCCGACCCCGAGGTCGCCCAGAAGCTGAAGGAACGCCACCCGCTCAGGAAGTTTGCAGGTCAGGGGCAGCGGTGAGCCGCGTGCCTGGGGGTCCGGCAGAGCCGTCCTGACGCACCTGCCGGCCCCGCAGATGGACGACGTGGTCAACAGCATCCTGTTCCTGCTCAGCGACCTCAGCGCCTCCACCAGCGGCTCCAGCATCTTCGTGGACGCCGGATACCTGGCCTCCTAGAGAGGGCCGGGCTCGGCACCCGGCCCGCCCCTTTCCCAGCCCCGCCCCCAAGTCAGACCGACCCCGCCGCCTTGCCCCTCCCCTCCTCGCCCATGTCCCGCCCGCTGCCACGCCTCGGCACGCCCTCACAGCCAGACGACCCGCTGCTTTGCCCGCCCTGGCCCACCCGGTACCCTCGCCCCACCCACGCCTCGCCCCACGGTCCGGCCGCCCCACGCCCGCACCGGCACCTGGTCCCACCGCCATCCCGCCACGCCCACAGCCGCGCCCACTCCGACCCCGCCTGTGGCCACGCCCGCAGCCCAAGCCCGCCCCACCCTTCCAGCTTGCCCTCCCGTGGGCCGCCCGCCGCCCCACGCCCGCCCGCCCACCGCCCGCCCACGGCCCAGCCCCGTTCCGCCTCCAGCCGAGGCCCCGCTGGACCACGCCCCCTTTCGCGACCCTGCCCGCCCACGGCGCCGCCCGCCTCCGCCCCACCCCCCTCCAGACCCGCATCCCGTCACGTTCCCCGCCCGCGCCCGCACCCGCACCCGCGGCCGCCCGAGACTCGGCCCCGCACCCGCTGCGCTGCTCTGGCGACAATAAAAGGCCCTTCCCTCCGAGCCGGCGCGGCACGCCGCGAGCCTGGGGACGGGGAGGGGACCGGGAGGGGGAGGGGAGGGCCAGCCCGCTTCCACCTCTGACCCCGCCGGGGGACCAAAGGGCAGCGACTCTTTTGCGAGGCGATTCCAACTTCCACACCCCAACCCTCAACCCTCAGCCAGCCCTGGGCGGAGGGCGGAGGGCAGCCTGCAGCCACCCCCACCCCGCCGTCCGTAGGGAAGGGGTCGAGAGTCCGGGGCCCGGAGAGGGAGGGGCTCGGTGTGGCACCACATCCAGTCCCCCCACCCCGCCCCGGAATCCGGCTCCACCTGTGCGTGCACCTGCTCCAGGACCACCGCAGGAGGCGGCTCCAGCGGGGGGCGGGCTCGCGGCTGCTTTCTGCACCGCCCCTGGCCCGAATCCCGGCGCCAGCCCCGCAGCCCAGGGCGGCCAGGGGGTCCTGCGCCCGGCCGGGTTGCAGCCGCGCTAGCCCGGGCCGGGCCTCGCGTGGCCTGCGCTACCTGGAGAAGGCCCGGCCGGAGAGGCCAGCCGGCCGCAGTGGCGGGCGCAGGTCCCACCCTGAGCGAGGGGGCAGAGGACCCGGGCTGGGGTCGCGCCCTCCAGGTTGGAGGGGCTCGGGGTAGGGGTGGGGATGGGGGATTCCGAGGGTGCTTCTCACCAGCCGGCAGGACTGCAGGGAGCCCCCAGCACGCACCGTAACCCCTCGCCACTCGCTACCCAAGGGCGGAGCCCGCGCGTGGGCCTCGGCCGCCGGGAGGCACGGCCCTGCCGCACGCAGCCCCTCCTGGAGGTCCCCGAGGAGCGAGAGGACCCCAGGACGAGTGAGGGGACTTGTACTCTGTCCTGGGCACAAGGGCGACCCACGGAGGGGTCTAAGCAGACGAGGCTGCCGTGTGCTGCGATGACCCAAATCCTCGCCCTGCCCCACTCAGTTTGCTTTTTTTTTTTTAAATTTTTATTATTATTATTTTTGAGACAGAGTCTCACTCTGTTGCCCAGGCTAGAGTGAGTGCCGTGGCGTCAGCCTCGCTCACAGCAGCCTCAAACTCCTGGGCTCAAGAGATCCTCCTGCCTCAGCCTCCCGACCAGCTGGGACTACAGGCACGCGACACCATGCCTGGCTCATTTTTTCTATATATTTTTAGTTGTCCAATTAATTTCTTTCTATTTATAGCAGAGACGGGTCTCACTCTTGCTCAGGCTGGCAGTTTGTGTTTTAAACGTAGTTTTATTATGCAGCCTGCAGGCTGGCTACGGCCTCCCACCCGGGGACCAGGCCCGGCCCTGCTTGGCTTCAGGCCGGCGCCCGCGCTCGGTTGGGTTGGTGGCCGTGCGGCTCGGGGTCTCCTGCACCTCCCTGGCTTGTGGGGCGCCGGCGCGACCCGGGGCCGAGCGTGGGGCAGGGGCGAGCGAGGCTTCTGGGGAAGCGCCAGACTTCTCAGAAGGGAAACGGGGTGGCAGCGCCGCGTCCCCAGTGTCACGCGCCGCCACGCGCCTGCCGTTAGCTGCTGCGTGTTTCCTAATAACTGTCTTGGCAGGGAGCAGTGCTGGCCCGCGCGGGCCGAACCAAGTCCCCCCCGGGGGCCCCGGAAGGGGGCCCGGGGGGGGCCCCCCCGGGCAAGTTGAAAAAAGCCGCCCCAGGGACAGCAAGCCCCGCCCCGCCCCTGGACAGCAGCCCCGCCCCGACAGCAGGCCCCGCCCCGTCCCCTCGGGCTCCTCGCGACCAATCACTCCCGCAGAGGAGCCTACATTTGAATGTCCCCGCCCCCTGGCCCCGAAGCCGCCCACGATTGGCCCCGCCGCGCCCGGTCCTTGGACGGAAGGCCCCGCCTCCGACGACTGTCCCCGCCCCATCCCCCTCGCTCCTCGCGGCCAATCACTCCCGCAGAAGAGCCAACATTTGAATGTCTCCGCCCCCTGGCACCGAAGCCGCCCGCGATTGGCCCCTCCGCGCCCCGCCCCCGCGCCCGGAGCTCGAAGTCCCGCGGCCGCCGCGCGCAGGGCGGAGACGGCCCAGCCATGGACCTGGGGCTCGCGGGCCGCCGGGCGCTGGTCACTGGGGCGGGCAAAGGTGGGCCGGCGGGGCGGCGGGGGGTGCCGGACCGGGCCGGCGGGCGGCGGTGGGGCGTCCGTACTGAGCCGGGCTCCCCGCAGGCATCGGGCGCGCCACGGTGCAGGCGCTGCACGCGGCGGGCGCGCGGGTGGTGGCCGTGAGCCGGACCCAGGCCGACCTGGACAGCCTCGTCCGCGAGGTAGGCGCCGCGGGGCGCGGCTCTGCGGGGCGGCCGCACGGGGGGCGGGGACCGCAGCGCGCCCGGCACGCCCCCTCCCGCCCGCGCGGCGCGGGCCGCGAGCCTGGGCACCCCCCGCTCCTCCCCCGGGCGCGCGGCCCGGCGTGGGGCCGGCGGAGCTGCCGGGCCCCGGGGCTTGGAAAGAGCCGAAATGGCAGCTGAGCGGCCGGGGCCAGAGGCGCTCAGGCGTAGGAGGAAGTGGACTGGCCCGAGGTGGGGCCAGGCTCCTGGTCGCGCAGGCCTGCGTTTGGCCACGGGGCTGCGGGTCCCCCTGGGACGCCTAACTCTCCCCTTGCCTGGCTGAAAGGTCACCTGGCCGCAGCTCCCCTCCCTCAGGTGGCAGAGGGTCAGCTGTGCCCCTTGTTGGGCATGGAGCCTCCGGTGACTATGCCCCCAATACACACAGTGCCCAGGGGTGGAGCCCGTGTGCGTGGACCTGGGCAACTGGGAGGCCACGGAGCGGGCGCTGAGCAGTGTGGGTCCGGTGGACTTGCTGGTAAACAATGCCGGTGTGGCCCTGCTTCAGCCCTTCCTGGAGGTCACCAAGGAGGCCTGTGACACGTGAGCCAGATGGGGGGGGGATAACCCCAGGGGAGGGGCTGCCCCCTGCAGCAGCCCCAGTCCCTGACCAGGGTCTGTTTGTCCATTCTGTTTCTAGGTCCTTTGATGTTAACCTTCGGGCTGTCATCCAGGTGTCCCAGGTGAGCTGCCCTGCTGCAGGAGGGGAACTCTGGTGAGTGGTACCAGTTCTGCCTCACCCTCCCTCTGTGATTTCAGATCATGGCCAAAGGTTTAATTGCTCGGGGAGCCCCAGGGGCCATCGTGAATGTCTCCAGCCAGGCCTCCCAGCGTGCGGTGACTAACCACAGTGTATACTGTGAGTGAGCCCCTGCCGTGCCCCAAGCCCCACCCCAGCTCCTGCCCCCAGCCCCCAGCCAGCTTGGGCTCCTCCTCACAGGTTCCACCAAGGGTGCCCTGGACATGCTGACCAAGGTGATGGCCCTAGAGCTCGGGCCCCACAAGGTGAGCTGGGCTAGAGCGCCTCCCACCACCCAGGCCAACACCCCAGGAGCCCCACTCGTCTTTTGACCTCTGCTGGTTTCTGTGCAGATCCGTGTGAATGCAGTGAACCCCACAGTGGTGATGACACCCATGGGCAAGGCCAACTGGAGTGACCCCCACAAGGCCAAGACCATGCTGGACCGAATCCCACTTGGCAGGTTTGCTGGTGAGTCGAGGAGAAGCCCAGCCAGGAAGTGCTTGGGGGCCAGGGGCAGGGGAGGGGAGATGGAGGGCAGCTTCCTCCAACTCCACCCCAACTCCACCCTGCCCACAGATGTGGAGAACGTGGTGGATGCCATCCTCTTCCTGCTGAGTGACCGAAGCAGCATGACCACAGGCTCCACTTTGCCTGTGGACGGGGGCTTCCTGGCCACCTGAGCCCCCTCCCACACACACCTCAGCCCCATGCTAAGCCCGCCCCTGTCCTCCATCCCTCCAATAAACTTGATTCTCCTGCCCAGCCTTTGTGCTGGTTCCTGGGCTGCCAGCTGGCAGCCGGGAGGGCTCAGGGCTGGGTGTGGGATGGGTCCCAGGCAGGTAGAGATTCATTAGATTCACACGCCATGCCAGGTGGCAGCCCAGCTCCCACACCTGAGATTTTTCAGGCCGGCCAGCACCCTGGCAGTGGCTGCAGGTAGGACCTCCCAAAAGATGGGCTTCTAAAGAGGGTGGTGAATTTGAACAAGCATGACCTCTGGCCCTGTCCAGAGACCTCCTGGGGTGGAAGCAGTGGTGTGCTCGTGTTTAACAAGCCCTCCTGTGAGTATAGAGCTGACGTGAAGATTAGGTGATCTTCCTTGAAACTAAGGAGTGACACAAAAGTGAAACAAGGAAGGTGTAAGTTAAATTTCACTACTTTTTCAATGACCCAAGAAACTTGTTTGTTGCATTAGATAATAGTTTTTGAATCCTGGAAGAACATTTCCTCAACTTTTTGTGCTATTCACAGTGCAATGAGCACATACACAGCACACTTCAGTTTAATCTGCATTTTCTCTTTTTATTCTCACTGTCACCCTGGCTGGAGTGCCATGGCACAATCACAGCTCAATAGTCTCACACTAGTGGGCTTAAGCGATCCTTCCACCTCAGCCTCCCTAGTAACTGGACTACAGGTGTGCACCACCATGACCAGCTCATTTTTAAAAATTTTCTTAGAAACAGGGTTTCACTGTATTGCCCAGGCTGGTCTCAAACTCCTGGGCTCAAACAATCTATCCTTCCACTTCAGCCTCCTGAGTAGCTGGGATTACAAACACAATTCACCAAGCCCGACGCCTATTACCTGTCTACATGATTAATGATAATCAAGCCCCAATTTGTGGAATTTGCCAGTTCCTTTGGCATAAATATTGCCACTAGGGCTGACTGTAAACTACCAATTTGATGTCATTGAATACAGAGTTGAGAGGAGATGAACAGCACCCCATTACGTGGAATCTGCACTTGATAAGTACAATAAATGTAAATAGCCCCAAAGGCATACATAACAGTCACATGTGCAAAACTAATTAGGAAGTGATGTGTTTTGAGTATTTGTTAATTTTGTTTTTAATGCAACTCACTGTAAGTTTATATAATTTTATTACTAATAATGGTTAACAGCTGGCTAGCCAAATTCCTGACAATTTAGCAACCAGGTCTCCTGAGCCAGCACAAGCCACCTCCCCCGACAGCAGGCCTGGTTGGCACCCTCTGATCACATGTTGGCCTGGACAGATGCCCTGTGGCCTCTCTGGGGGTGAAGTCCAGGACCCTGACCCAAGCGTAGGGCCACCGTTTCTGACTTCAGCATCACCAGAGCCTGGCCAGCTGCTGCTCCCTTCTGTCTCCACGCCACGCTGCGACCTCCAAGCCTCTGTCTACCCTGGCCCTCAGCCTCAGTGCCCTTCCTCCTAACACCTGCCAGAGGCAGGGGGGGCTGTGGGAGGAGCACCTGACCTGGCTCCAGCCGCTCTGCAGACTGTCCCTGTCTGAAGGGGGCTGCTTGGGAGCGCAGCCCGCCTGGGTGTGCCCCTCCCAGAGGCCCCGAGAGGGAGGCCTGCTTGTGCACACACTCATCCCGGGGCCAGTGCAATTGCTCCTGCTCAGATCTGGGCTTCTCCTGCCCCAGGTGTGGGGCATGCTCAGAGCTCCCCTTGGGGGACTCCAAGGTGCTGCTGTGGGTGCCACAGGCCCCCTCTGCACCATGACTGTGGGGTGGCTAGAGGTAAACCATGCCAGGGCGGAAGGCAGGCAGTGAGAGGCAGGTGTCGGTGCAGAATGTTTATTGTATAAAATAAGAAGGGGCCACCCTTCCCCGGAGCGCAATGGATAGAACCCACCCCCCCACCCTCCCCGGCAGGGAAGCCCATCCTGGGGCTGCCCCGGACCCACCCCTGCAGCCCTGAGGGAGACCCTGCTCCCTCCTGGCCTCTCTCGGGGGCCAGCGAAGGCTGGAGCTGCACCCTAGAAAGAGGAGGCAGAGTGATCAGGACCCTGTGGCCCCAGCCTTGACATCATGCTTCTTCCCCTCCCCCCACACCCCTCCCTCACAGCAGACTCAGGGACACCAGACATCTCAACACCACAGCAGATGGGTCCAGGGGCTGCTCCTCTGCCAGCCCCCAGGTCCTGGTCGGGCAGGGGCTCTAGAAGACTGTGCATTTCTTCCCCGGCTTCTTCACGGGGGGTGGGCAGAGCACGGCCCGTATGGCCTCGTCAAACACTGTCTTCAGGCCCCGCTGGGTCAGGGCTGAGCACTCCAGGTACTTGACAGAGCCTGGGGCAACAGGGAGTGGGGTGGCAGCAGCAGGAATGGGGACATGAGGGGGCAGCACAGGCAGATGCAGGACCCCCCCAGCATGCCTCCCTGCCTCCCCACCCTCTCTGGTGGGTGCCCGGGTGCCCACCCACCAATCTCTCGGGCCATGGCCAGGCCCTGTGGGTAGGTGATGGGTGCCAGCTTCTTGTCCCGCAGCCGCTCAATGGTGTCCTTGTCATCGCGGAGGTCCAGCTTGGTGCCCACCAGGAGGATGGGTGTGTGGGGGCAGTGGTGCCGCACTTCCGGGTACCACTGTGGGGACAGAGGCTCTGATCCCCTACACCGTGGGGTCTGCTCCCCCGGCCCAGCCCTGAAGGCTTCCTCCCTGGCCCTGGAGCCACCCTGGGCTCCTCCTACTTTACAGGATGACCAGGGGGCTGGTGGTTTGGTGGGGAGGTGACTGGAAACAAACAGCCTGGAAGCCTTGCAACTCACAAGGGACTCCCAGCCCAAGCCCATCCCCAGAAGCTACAGATGCCCTTCTGTCCTCTGAGATGCCCAACCCCCACATGCCACCCCTTCGCCGGCAGGGCCACCGTTAAGCCCCGCCCATGTGCTAACTCCGGACAGAACACACATCTCGACCAATCGCCTTTGAGGGACAAATTGTCTAAGACCTTCAGGCAACTCCTCTCCTCCAGGGCAGGCCCTCCAGGCAAACCCTCCCCCTAGCCGGCGCCCAGCCCCGTCCTACCTTGGCTCGAACATTCTCAAAGGAGGCGGGGCTCACCAGCGAGAAGCAGATCAGAAACACGTCCTTGGGAGGGACCCGGTGGGAGTGTCAAGGGGGCTCCACAGGGCCGCGCCCTCCCCCATCTGTACCTCAGGGACCCACTCAGCTCCAGGCTGACCCCATTGTCACCTACGGTTTGGGGATAGGAGAGTGGCCGCAGCCGGTCGTAGTCCTCCTGCCCAGCCGTGTCCCACAGCCCCAGGTTGACCGGCTTCCCGTCCACCATCACATTGGCAGAGTAATTGTCAAAACTGCAGAGCAGAGGGGGAGAGGCCAGGCTCGGGAGGGGTCCTGGGTCACGCCCGCCCATCCCACCTGTGTCTCAGGTTCTTGGGCCTGTGCAGAACTGGAACTCTGCCCAGCACCTCAGCCCCACCCCAGAAGCCCAGAACCACAGCAGCCTGGGCCAGACCTGGGAGCCCAGGAGCGCCCCACACACGTGTGCCCAGAACTCCCAGTGCCCCCCACTCACACGGTGGGGATGTACTCTCCCGGGAAGGCGTTGGTCGTGTAGCTGATCAGCAAGCATGTCTTCCCCACGGCGCTGTGGACAGGGGCAAGCCCACGTGGCTCCCAGGCCCAGCCTCGCCCCTCTGCCGGGCAAGGGCAGCCTCCTCCCACGGAGCCAGAGACCAAGTTAGGGCGCCTAGGTGGGGTCGGGGGTCCCAGCCCAGCAGATCCGCAGCGACCTAGGGCTGGAGGACGACCAGGGCAGGCCGGGCTCCGTGGGGTGAACTGGTGGGTGCGGCGCGGGGATCCCCAACATCAGAGCCCCAGGCAGGGCGGCAGAGTTCCCAACACAACCGGGGTGGGTGGCAGGGGCGGGTGTGGCCGGCTCAGGGTTCAACCCAGGTGAGAGGCCTGGCCCCACCCACTGGGAGGACTGGGCGGCGGCCCCGCCTCGCGCAGCACCCAGCCCAGGGAGCCCGGCAGCATCAGGTGGGCCGGGGCAGCAGGCCCGCGGACCGCCGGGACCCCGCCCCTCCCCGGCCCCGGGGCGCACGCGGCCCTGGCTGGGGGCGGCCCCGGGTGCCCCGCCCCGCCCGCGAGCCGGGCGCCAGAGCCCCAGCCCGGCCAGCAGCCTCGGGGCCGCGCACTCACCCGTCGCCGACCACCACGCACTTGATGGCCTGCATGGGCGCGGGGCCGGGAGGCGGCGGGCGCGGCCGCGAGCTGAGCTGCGGAGAAATGCCCGGCGCCGCAGCGGCCGCGGACCCGAGCGAGGAGCGAGCGGCCGGAGACAGCCGAGCGCCGCCGAGCGCCGGGCGCGGAGACAGCCGAGCGCGGCCGCGGGGGGCGGGGCCGCCGAGCAGGGCCGAGCCTGCGGGGCGCGGGCGGGGCGCCCCCAGCTGCAGCCCGTCCGGACCCGCGCGCCGCCCGGCCCTGTGCCCAAGGAGGGCCCCGGGTGCTCGGGGCTGCCCTGGGGTTCTGCGGGCGCAGCGCGAGCCCGCGACCCAGCACGTGCGGGGGCTGCGCGCACGTAGCGTTTTCCAGGGAGACCCGCCCCCGGCAGCGGACGGCCGCGGAAGCCGGGGTCTTGCGGCGTCACCCCGCGGCAGCAGTGCGGGTGCCCCGCCGCTCGGGGCGCGGCGCAGAGGAGACGCGGCCGCAAAGTACGACAAAGTGCACACGCGCTGTATTCCGCACGCACGGTCTCACGCCAAAGGCGGCTACAGCGGGGGTGAAACGCCCGCGGGGGTTGGGGGCGCCCTCGGGTCTCCTCCCCACCGTGCTGTCCATGGCGCGTCGCTCTGCGGCCGGCGCGGGAGCGCGGGGTCCGGCCCCCTGGTCCCTCGGTCCATCTCCGCGCGCCCGGACGCACCGCGGCCCCCTCACTTCGGGGGGCTCAGTGCTCTCGGCGGGACCCCCTGCACGTAGGCCAGCACGGCGCTCTGCAGGAGGCTCGCCCGCTGCGCCTCCTCCT